TGAACGGCGAGGGTTTCTGGGAGGTCTTTGGCAACGTCAGCAGTGGCTACCATCGAAGAACTGGTCCATCTCTTCGCGACCGGAAGGAGCACAAAGGGATAAGTGAGTAGATGCATGTTCGCCACTCCTGTCAGTCGAAGAGGACGTGCGTTCGAAGCTGCCGTGTGTCACGTATGGCTCATGTTACGACACAGTTGAGGACCATGTGACCGAAGCACACAAACTTTGCACTGGAAATGAGGAAAAGACAAGGAGGGGAAGTGAGTGATTCATGGATAGAGAGAGAGAGAGAGAGAGAGAGAAACAGGCAGGAAGGTAAGAAGGCGGGCGGGAAAGGAGCCAGGGAGGGAAGAACGCACAGAAGAAGGAATGAATCAAGTCAACACCGACGGGAGGGAAGGAGGGGGGCATTTGAGGCATGGGAACGCAGGAAATTGGCGGACAGGGGGGAAGAGAGGGAAAGAACAGGAGGACGGAGGGAAGGTAAGGAGAGAGATTGGATGCAAAGAACCTAGCGACTTGGCACAACATTCAACAGCAAAGTCGACATCATATCGTCATACTGTCTCCAGCAATAGCGCCGCGGCGCTGGTCTTCTTGGAGTCCTCCTGGGACGCTCATGGGTCTCCTCGGGGCAATATGGGGTCCAGCCCGAGCTAACATGGAGGCCACGAAAGCCCGTCACAGGGAGGCCTGAACTCTTGCATGCTTCCTGCCCTCTTCAGAGGCCCGATGTAGAGCTTCCTGGAATGCTCTGGCGGCCTCTTGCTGCACCTGGCGCTGCCTGTCCCTCCTGGGCTCCTCTCGAGGCCTCGGGGGACCTCCAGGGGCCACCCCAGCGTCCCAGTGACATCCGAGGACCTCCTCGGGAGACTTCCCGGAGGTGGCCGTCGGCTTGGGCGAGGCGGGCAGGCGGCGGCCGAGAGGCCAAAGGGGGACCTCCACGGGGCTACCCCAGCGCCCCAGCGACGTCCCGGAGGACCTCCTCGGGAGACTTCCCGGAGGTGGCCGTCGGCTTGGGCGAGGCGGGCAGGCGGCGGCCGAGCGTCCCGGCGACATCCCGGAGGACCTCCTCGGGAGACTTCCCGGAGGTGGCCGTCGGCTTGGGCGAGGCGGGCAGGCGGCGGCCGAGAGGCCAAAGGGGGACCTCCACGGGGCCACCCCGGCGTCCCGGCGACATCCCGGAGGACCTCCTCGGGAGACTTCCCGGAGGTGGCCGTCGGCTTGGGCGAGGCGGGCAGGCGGCGGCCGAGAGGCCAAAGGGGGACCTCCAGGGGCCACCCCGGCGTCCCGGCGACATCCGAGGACCTCCTCGGGAGACTTCCCGGAGGTGGCCGTCGGCTTGGGCGAGGCGGGCAGGCGGCGGCCGAGAGGCCAAAGGGGGACCTCCAGGGGCCCTGAAGAAGGAACCCTTTTGGTTGGGGAGGGGCTCCGCGTTCCTTAAATGTTTCGCAGCTTGCCTCAGGTTTTCCTTATGTTTTCGATGGGAAATCGAGGTTCAACTTATGGAAAAGAGGGGCCTCGTTCCTTATTTAGGGTTCCTTAGGGCAACGCCCCGACTGTATCCCAGCGTCCCGGCGACATCCCGGAGGACCTCCTCGGGAGACTTCCCCGAGGTGGCCGGCGGATGGGGCGGGGTGGGCGTCGGTGGCGGCCGAGAGGGCCCCCCTGCAGGGGCGCGCAGCGAGCCGCGCGCCGCGCGACGCGGCGCGGGCCAGGGGGCGGGCCTTACCCCCAGGTCGGGCCTGTCCCCCTACTGGGGGATTTCGGACGCAAAAATTAAAACAAACAAAAAACATACATAAATACATACATACATACATACAAACAAACATACAAACATACATACATACATACATACATACATACATACCTACCTACCTACCTACCTACCTACATGCATACATACATGCATGCATGCATGCATGCATACATACATACATACATACATACATACATACATACACACATACGTACATACGTACATACGTACATACGTACATACGTACATACATACATACATACATACATACATACATACATACATACATACATACATGCATACGTGCATACGTACATACATACATACATACATACATACATACATACATACATACATACATACATGCATACATGCATGCATGCATGCATGCATGCATACATATATACATACATACATACATACATACATACATACATACGTACATACATACATACAATCATACAGACATGCGTACATACATACATACATACATACATACATATATATATATATACATACATACATACATGCATGCATGCATGCATGCATACATACATACATACATAAATACATACATATGTATGATATGTATATACATATATTCCAAAAATATTCAAAAGATGCCCAAAAATACTCAAAAAGTAGCCCCCAGACTGTGGTTTGACTATTTTTGAATGTTCCCCCTGTAGAAGGACGGGCCCGACTTAACCTTACCCATCGGTCGTTGAAAGGTAGGCA